AGCAGCAGTAAGGACTTATCGCGCGGCTTATTCCCGCTGCCGGCGCCTTCCTTAAACCGCCTGTAAAACCCGTAAATCTTTGACATTGACCGCGAGTCCCCCTTACTGCTGCTTCGTCACTATCAAGACTTTCAATGGCTTTTTGTAAACGTATCGCCCAATGTGGTCGTCAAAATTTTAATGTTTCTTTATTTTATTTTTGGTACAGTTATACCTTGGCATTGTGCTGGCAATTGTTGTCGTTGTAACTGGTTGCTTCTCGTACTATCAGGTAAGTTGGGAACAAATGGCAGCATTGTTCATTCCATGCATTAAAATTACACAACGATCGTGACTCGCTATTGCATAGTAATTACCAATTACGATGTCTTTCAGGAAGCAAAAAGCTCAAAGATCATGGAAAGCTTCAAGAACATGGTTCCTCTGGTATGAACGACAATTTATATAAAGTTTACCCACCCCCTTCCTAGCACTGATCTTCAAAATTTGTGTGCATTATCTGTTTATTTAGGAAGCTACTATACTTCGAGATGGAGTTAAAGTAAAGAAAAATTCACAGGAGGTGGTTGTTGGAGACATAATCTTCATTGCTTTTGGCGACCGAATTCCAGCAGATGTTAGGGTGTTGGAATCAAAAGGATTCAAGGTGCGCATAGCTACTGAATTTTTTTTTTTTTTTTTTGCTTTTTGCTTTGTCAGGTTTCAGGTCATTCTCTTTATATTGAATTATTTCAGGTTGACAACTCATCCCTGACTGGGGAATCTGAGCCCCAAGCACGTGGCCCAGAATGCACCAATCAAAACCCATTGGAAACCAAAAACCTTGGTTTCTTTTCGACCAATGCTGTGGAAGGCACTTGCACTGGGCTTGTTATCCAAACAGGGGATTCTACTGTAATGGGACGCATCGCTAATCTCGCTAGTGGTCTTGATACTGGCAAGACACCCATTGCTGTTGAGATCTCCCACTTTATTCACATTGTCACTGGAGTGGCTGTTTCACTGGGTGTCTCATTCTTCGTCATCTCTTTAATCCTACACTACACGTGGCTTGAAGCAGTCATCTTTTTGATTGGCATCATCGTGGCTAATGTTCCAGAGGGCCTTTTAGCTACCGTAACGGTACATACGTTATTTCATATCTTACATATCGCGTTTACAAATAATTTGCTAGTGATAACAACTACAGATGCTAGATAGATATTAGGCCCTTTTTGCGACAGGTATGCTTGACCCTGACTGCTAAACGCATGGCCTCCAAGAACTGCTTGGTGAAGAATCTTGAAGCCGTTGAAACTCTTGGTAGTACATCAACCATCTGTTCGGATAAAACTGGTACGCTCACCCAGAACAGGATGACTGTTGGTAAGTATTATTTAAGTATGGTGGTGTGAGGAAGGAGGGAAAGGGGGGGGGGGGGTGCTTTCCTTAGCGACCACTGATACGTGGTGATATTATTACAAAACAGCTCACATGTGGTTCGATAACAAGATCGTTGAAGCAGACACAACAGAAGATCAAAGTGGAGTAGTAATGGACAAGGTAATTAATTTCAATGTAATTACACCTTTTGCTGTTCATTAACCGCAAAGGAATATTCATTCAAGCGAAAAAACATTATCATTAGCGTGAACAGGCACACAATAACGCGAACGGAGTTTCAAGAGCGCGATGGAACTTTCATTAAGGAATTTAGCATAACATTGGACAATCATGAATATGTTTGTGCAGGTTCATTAGCGTTTTCGAAGTTTCATTAGCGCCTTTGTGCAATCAATAAACAAAACCACACATTCAATAACGGTTTTTGGACATTCATTAGCGCAATACATTATTACTTTACTTTTTACACGGGAATTGTAGGATTTTAGCTTTCTTTACCCTTTTTTACAACCCATGAATATAATGGGAGACAGAGGAGAAGCTAGAAGGCAAGGCATTCCACTCGGAGAGCTAAGAAAAAGATTGCTTCTTAGAGCGACTACAAGAAACATAAATGTTATCACGCAACAAAAATGCATGCAGTGGTACAACCACATGCAAACCTATCTTCCCAGATGTATGAATAGAGAAGCAATTCAAAGATAAATACACTTCTTTCTTCAATACCTAACGCCATGTTTTCTTTGTAAAGAACGGTTATATTCATGGGTTGTAAAAAATGTAAAGAAAGCTAAAATCCTACAATTCCCGTGTAAAAAGTAAAGTAATAATGTATTGCGCTAATGAATGTCCAAAAACCGTTATTGAATGTGTGGTTTTGTCTATTGATTGCACAAAGGCGCTAATGAAACTTCGAAAACGCTAATGAACCTGCACAAACATATTCATGATTGTCCAATGTTATGCTAAATTCCTTAATGAAAGTTCCATCGCGCTCTTGAAACTCCGTTCGCGTTATTGTGTGCCTGTTCGCGCTAATGATAATGCTTTTTCGCTTGAATGAATATACCTTTGCGGTTAATGAACAGCAAAAGGTGTAATAATTATCCACATTTGCTCAATATTTTTCTCTCCCTTTTCCTCTCTGCACTCCCTATCTCGACGCCCATCCTTTACTTCCTAACTCCCATATAGGGTCTATATACTTAGTTTAACTAACTTTGGTTATTATCATCTTGTACATCTCTTATAGTCCGACACTTGGTATGCCCTCTGTCGTATCGCAGGACTGTGCAACAGAGCAGAATTCGCTGTTGAAGCTGAAGATAAGCCGGTTTTAAAACGGTATATAACAGAGCATAACTCCTTATTTGCGCCAAAACAACAAACGTTCTATTTTTACAATAACTATTTAAAAAGACGTTTTTATTTTAAAGCGACTACTAAAAAACAATAAATATTCATTTTAACGAAAACGTTATACTGGAAGAAAAAGAGAAATGGTGGATTTTTGTTTGGAAAATAAAAACAAATATTGATGAGCAGAAATTTAAATCTTGTTCTTGCTTTTGTGAAACCAAAGGGATGAAATATACACGGACCGTAAAGCATGTGCTGATGTTGTTGTTGTATTCATAGTGATACCATGGGTGGAAATGCATCAGAGGCAGCTCTTCTCAAGTGTGTTGAGCTACAAGTTGGTAACGTTCATCATATGAGAGAGAAAAACCCAATGGTTGCAGAGATTCCTTTTAATTCTACCAACAAATACCACATAACCATCCACGAGATTGACGATCCAGAGGAAAACAGTCACATCTTACTCATTAAGGGCGCTCCGGAGCGCGTCCTTGATCGCTGTAGTACAATTCTTTTAGAAGGAAAAGAACAGCCACTAGAGGACGACATGAAAGAAGCTTTTGAAGAGGCTTATTTGAATCTTGGTGGTCTAGGTGAACGTGTGCTTGGCTTTGGACATTATTTTTTGTCTAAGGAAAAATACCCAAAGGGCTTTGAATTTGCAACAGATGACGTAAGTGGCCCAATAATTAGTGACAAATTTCGTGATTTACTATGATCCAACAACGAAAGAGAATATATAATGTATTTGGGTCTGCTTTCGAATCCTGTGCGCGGTTGAACGAATGGCGAACAGCTCGGATAGCGCTCTCCACCCTTCGTACAACCGGGCCCTAGCCTTAATCGTATAAAATATGGTCACAAGTTGCGCAGAGTTCCCAGCAATCTAATGCGCCTGAAATAGCCGAAAATGTTTTTAAGGGATTCGTTAATACTGACATCAATTTATACGTTATTTCTTTTAGCCTGTTAATTTTCCGTTGGAGAACCTCTGCTTTGTTGGCCTTATGTCTATGATCGACCCTCCTAGAGCTGCTGTGCCTGATGCTGTCAGCAAATGTCGTGGGGCTGGTATCAAGGTCATTATGGTTACTGGAGACCACCCTATCACTGCTAAGGCCATTGCACGTGGCGTCGGTATTATCTCTGAAGGTGCAACTTTGAAGATGTTTAATTGTTTGCCTTTAAATTCGTTTTGTATATTATTTATTTTGGCTTGCTGCATTGCTGTTTCCAGATACCGAAACAGTAGAGGACATTTCCATTAGACTAAATATTCCCGTCGAAGAGGTTAATCCAAAGGATGCCAAGGCGATTGTTGTTCACGGTGGAGAACTCAAGGTATAGTTTACATTATGATACACTGTCATGATGAACGTGAAAAATACGGTATATCTAGTATACTGACTTGCAACGCGTACACCAAACGACAAAGACCAGTTTTCGCTTGACTGTGAATAGCTGACTGTGAAAATGACTGTGAATAGCTGACTGTGAAAATGACTGTGAATAGCTGCATCTACGGCAGGCATATGCCAGACCAATCACATTGCGCGAGTATTTACTCTCCATCTAATCGAATACCCAAAACACGCCATGAACACGGCACGGACACGGTCACACCAAGTTCACGTCACTGTCAGACTTATCACATTGCGCGAAAAATCAGTCAATTAAAATTCTAAAATACATCACGGTCACGGCACGGCACGGCTCGCTTACGGCACTGTCTTTTTCACAGTCATTCGAAAACTGCTCTACTACTACTGTACCCCCATTACAGTGGCGTCATACGCCGACAAGTTTATTCAATCTCTTAATGAGGTACAATATAAGAACTTATAAACTGTTTTTGTTCAAAAGAACATTGAGCAAGGGCACCTAGACGACATCCTTAGGGACCACACAGAGATCGTGTTTGCACGTACTTCACCTCAGCAAAAGCTGATCATTGTTGAGGGTTGCCAGAGAATGGGTGCTATTGTTGCTGTGACTGGCGATGGTGTTAATGATTCTCCTGCCTTGAAGAGAGCTGATATTGGTATGAGACCATGTTGAATATTTTTGACTTGTGAATACGTTATTTCCGCTTTACCTTGTTTGAAACTAGTGGGAGTTGGGCGCACTCGTATGTCGCACGGGACTGGGCAACACGTTTTGGTAGACAGTGGCCCTGTGGCCGCAGTAATCAATAAATAAAGTATTATTTATTATTTTTTTATCAATTTTGAATAATTTTTTTTTGAAAACATCTCATGTGTATACAGTGGGATTCGAACCCACATCAACCAAGAAACCAGAAACATAAAACAAAAAACTTTTAATTCCACAAAAAAATAACCAAAAAAAACAAAAAACAAAAAAAAAAAAAAAAAAAAAAAAACGATTCTTCTTTGCCATACCCCCGAGACATCCGCAGAGCTGAGGCGTCGTATGGACTTCGGACCTGACGGCGATTAAATCCTTCTGCCCTTGGGTGTACGAATTACGCAAGAAAATGTTCTAGCCGAAGCATCAGGGGAGAGACCAGCCGGCCCCCAGACCATATCGGCTAATCCCTTGCATCTCTGCCACGCACGGAATCGGTTGAAAATATAATATCAAAAAGACTAGTCTATCCGGTGCATTGTTTTCACGGCTATTGTTATGCTGATTCACCTGGAACCGTGGTCCACTGGAAAAAACTTAGGCTTGCGACATTAACCGGTGAAGCCCGGTTCAGGAGTGAGGTTAGGACCTGGATGGGTGACCTGAAACTCATACCTACTCAAGCTTTTCATTTATTCTTTATTTTTTTCTTTTTTTCTTTCATTCATTCATTCTTTCTTTCTTTCTTTCTCTTTTTCTTTCTGGTTTTAAAGAAACTTGAATAGAGTACCGAAGTGATGACGTCACAAAATTGTTTTTTAAAGAAATTTAGGATTTTGGTGACATTATCAGAAATTGCATGTAAAAATCTGTTATTTCAGAGCGATAGAGCGAAAAACGGCTGAGATATAGGTAATGCAATACAAAAATATCGCAATACGTATATTAGACCGTAATTAGATCCAGTCCAATATAAGAGAAAATGTATTGTGCTTTTTTGGAGCTTAATTGCCCAATGTCTTCATTTTTAAAGCTCGGCCTTAAAATTGGTAAAAATGTAGGCAATGATGTGTTCTCTTCAAAATGAACATTTCGAAACTGAATTGAAAATTTTGAAACTTGATGACGCCACACTTCGGTACTCTATTGCCGAATAGATATTGAACATTGATGTTTTTGCTTGCAATTTGCCGTATCGTAACGCCAATTCTTGTCACTCAAATGCTTTGCCCACTCTCCTATTGGTCAAATAGTCCCTGTATCAAGTATATTCTGTATATTTTTTGTCTTCCAGGTGTTGCCATGGGAATAGCTGGTTCAGATGTGTCTAAACAAGCTGCTGACATGATTCTCCTGGATGACAATTTTGCTTCCATTGTTACTGGAGTYGAGGAAGGTAAATCAGGCCTGATCTTTGTAAAGAACTATAAGAGTTATAAAAATTGACTATAGCTGCTTTGTRTTATTGACTATAAAGAAATATTTTAAGCCTGGCTGTTGGACAGGACAAACAAACAAACAAACTCCCATTTTCCAAAATAGGAATGACTTCATAATTTGAAAGTGCCCCACCAACTACTGAACAACAACCTCCACCACGCACGCTTGTTTATAGGGCATTTCTCCATCAAAGTATTTGTACTCATTGGTTATATTTTATCCACCCTCAGGTCGCTTGATCTTTGATAACTTGAAGAAGTCCATCGCCTACACTCTGACTAGTAACATCCCTGAGATCACACCATTCTTGATGTTCATTGTGGTTGGTATTCCTCAGCCACTTGGAGTGGTTACCATTTTATGCATTGATCTTGGGACTGATATGGTAAGCAATTCCTGAAACATCACCTGATATTTATACCCAATTGTTGTTTTATGTAAAATCTTTAGATGCACAAAATAACGAATTACAGTCACAATATGCATCCGCACTCATCAATCCTTCAGCACCATATTTGTGAACAGAAATAGGCTAGGTGCATGGGAGATATGGAACCAATTTGGTTGCTGTATCAATACATATGTTTTGAATCAAGGGGTCATGTGGCATCACATATGAGCAGAGTTTGCAGGAGCAGGTCTCTCCTTGGATACCAGGTGGTCCAGGTTACCTCCTTGTGCCATACCTAACCGTACCTTGACATTGATCAGCCCAGAGGCTGTTTCAGGGTTTGATAAACTTTTAAAAGTTTTTGCGCAATCATTCCCAATCCCACATTTGATACTGTCAATGTTGATAATAACCTCACCCCCTAAACTCACCTATAGAAGCCTTTGAGTCCAAGTATTAAACTAATGAGGTTCATTTTAATCAAGGTACCAGCCATCTCCCTTGCTTATGAAGCACCTGAAAGTGACATCATGAAACGAAGGCCCAGAGATCCTAAGAAGGACAAACTTGTCAATGAAAGGTACTCATCAACTAACCAGTCATTTCTAACTTATTAGTATTGTCAGGATTATACTATTAGTCTTTATCACTCTAAATGGTAATATTTGACATATTCCAGGTTGATTGCAATGACTTATGGACAGATTGGCTTTATTCAGGTAAGAAAATTGTTTCCGTGTTGAGGGCAGGACTTATTCTCAAAAGTATGATTTTGGCAATTGGGACTGGGAAACGTCTCTATCAGCAGATTTTAGTATATTCCTCTGAAATATTTGTTTCCTTTAAAGGCTCTGGGTGGGTTCTTCACATACTTCGTAATCATGGGTGAGAATGGCTTCCTTCCTGAAAGGCTGATAGGGATCCGAATTGAATGGGAAGACAAGAACAATCACGCAGTGCTGGATAACTTTAACCAAGAATGGGTAAGCAAGCAAACCGCAAGTTTCCCCACTGTCACACACAGGCATATATTCTACTCTAGAGTATTGTATGATCGTAACGTTAATATTTACTTTCTGTGTGTTTCGGCCTTCAGAGTTACCATCAGAGGAAAATCCTCGAACACACGTGCCATACGGCGTTCTTTATCAGTATTGTGGTCGTACAATGGGCTGATTTGATTATCTGCAAAACTAGAAAAAACTCCATCATCACACAAAAGATGACGTAAGTACACCTTTGCATCGTATTCTTTAGTTTTGGATTGTTAAATTTGTAAATCTTAAACCTCGTTACTAGTATTTTTTTCTTACTTTTTGTTCGTTGCAACAGAAACAACAAATTGAACTTTGCCTTGATATTCGAGACGTTGTTGGCAATCATGCTTTCTTACACCCCTGGCCTATCCCATGGCTTAAATATGTATCCACTCAAGTAAGTATGATAGCACCGAGGAAAGTAAGTTGGATGTTGGAAAATGAAGTAACGTGCTAGACAACTTGATCTCCCTTTTCCTCTTACGGGCGCGTCGTTTCTTTGCGCAGTCAGTACAGTTCGCCAGCCAAAAAACTGTTGATCGATTGACACTTTGTCTCATACTGATGATAAAAAAAAACATATATGTACTGAGATGTAGATGCTAGATGTATTTATTTCTCCATCTTGTTGTTATTTCAGTGCAACGTGGTGGTTCCCAGCCATGCCTTTCAGTTTACTAATTTTCGTCTATGACGAGATCCGTCGATATTTCATTCGTAAATGGCCTGGATGTGAGTATGCTTTGCAGGTTCATTTACGTATAAAACCAAAGATTTTCCTGGATCATGCGCACTGACTCAGTAACCATCCTGATATAATTTTTGTATCAGGCAACCAATCCCTCCCCAGGCACCCCGCCAAGGCCTGATACTCAGGTTATCATTTTTTCCTAATACAACCTTCTTTTTTAAGGCTGGGTTGAGCAAGAGACCTATTACTAGTTTGCTTTCGCCGCTACATGATAAAATGGGTGTCGGCCAACAAGATCAAGACACGACATTTTGGAGGTAGAAGTAGACGTGCGAATTTATTTGGAAAGAAAAAATATTTTGAATAATAACACTATTCCTTTACATATTTCCATCCTTGTCAGAAGGGTTTTAAGATGTACACTTGAGGATTTTATTGAATTAAGTATAAACACGTTTTTATTCTCCGTGAATTTCAAAAATTACATTTAAACAATTAAATTTCTTCAAAACTTAAACTTATCTTTAGTTGACATCTCGTGTTAAGTGCGACAAGAGCAGCATTTCGATATGTGACTATTTACAGTGCAGTTAAAAGTTAACTAGTTCTGCTTTTAAATATATATATATTACATTTTATCTTTATAAATAAATACACAATAAATAAAAAATATATATACCACTCTTAGTTCAAAAAAGGTCTGACGAGAATATGGCAAAAATACGAATATTACGAAAATATATCCCTTTTATCATATATTTCTTCAAACAAATCTACCTATCCCTAATTTCCATTCTGAAAAAAGGTTTGGCAGTGAAGAAATTAATAAATTATTCTGCACAGTTAATTTATTGACTTTCAAAATCGTCTACTGCTGTGCACCAGGTTTCGCATTATTCAGTCCCACTCTATGACTGCACCAGGCCACCTAAAAGACAGGAGAGGTCATATGTAAATATATATTCAATCTCATCAAGGCCGATAAAACAACACAGTCTTACTTGGTCCTAATTATATGTTCAACGGGATGAGTATCCTCAGTTATGTCAGATTCGTCTACAACGTCTCGGGTATCTAGAAAAACAAACATTTTTTTTTGCATATTATAGGAACAGTTCGCCACTATTAACTTTTAGTTGTGTAGTCGTTTGCTTAAGTTAACATTGTATGCGCACATAATTTTAGTTGCGCACCTAGTAGGTGTGGCGTAGTAGATGTGTAATGCTGTATTGCTGTATTGCGCATGGTACTAGTAGGTGTGGTTGTGGAGATTGTATCTGTAGTTGTGGACGACTTCGTAGCTGTGTACCTAGTAGGTGTAGTTGTGGAGATCGTATCTGTAGTTGCGCACGACTTAGTTGCTGTGCACTTAGTAGGTGTGGTGATGGAGATCGTATCTGTAGTTGCGCACGACTTAGTTGCTGTGTACCTAGTAGGTGTGGTTGTTGAAATTGTAGCTGTGGTTGCGCACGACTTAGTTGCTGTGTACCTAGTAGGTATGGTTGTGGAGATCGTAGCTGTATTGTAGTTGCACGTGTTGGTGTTTGCACATATTGTAGTTAGATGCGGACCTAGTAGTTGTGGCTGTGAACATCTTAGCTAGTTGCGCAAATTCTATTTGTTTGTTAACTTCACATAATTCTGTATGCTCATTGTAGCTTGTCGTTGTTTAAGCTTGTCTTACTCTTTGAGTTTTTTTTTCTTACCAACAGTTACGATCTCATCACAAGAAGAGCTATATTTGCTTGTCCCATTGTAAAAGTTCAATTTGAATAGTCTCTCAAGCTTCCTACAAAAAAATTATTATTAGATTATCATTGGACTAAAAATTATAGTTTACATATACATACCATCTTAACTTACCAATCATTAACAAGTTCACTGTTTAAACAAAAGATAACCCCATAACGACCACCTGTACTGTCAACAACCCAGATCGGATACTTTGGTGTTTTCAGCATACTACCAACCTATCAAAAACAAATTGCCAAATAAATAATTATACCTAGCAGCTTCACGACAGCAATACAAAATGAATGCATATATAATTCTTACCTGAATTTCCTTAGGTTTAAGGTGTTCCTTTAAAGTCAAATACCCTATGTCACTTCTTGTTTTGATTCCTTTTAGTGGGACAGGCTAAGGAAAAAAATACTCTTAGCAGAACTGATGCTTACTGATTTATATCCAAAGCATTCTTATGGCAAACATCAACAAAGAAGGCAGACTGCAGATTAAAGATTAGGAACAATCTATACTTACCAATGCATTGCCCCTCTTATCATACTCAACATCACCATTAAACAAATGACTGACTGCACGCCCTGTTAACAGCAGATTTAACATGCTCTGTGAAGAAAATAATGTTTGGAAAAATTGAAGCATTTATACACAGTTATTTATCATGTAAAAAACTTCTTATAATCAGAATGTGGCTCTTCCTGGCTGTCAACCACTCTTAAGTTATGGCATGCACAAACTTTTCAAGGTAATCAGTCATTATCTTAAGGTTATAAGTAAACTATTAATACAAAATTAACGTGAAGATTTGGGAAGTTTGCATTTACCTGAGAGCAGGTTTCGTTGTTTTCCATTAAGATTGAATCAAAGCTTCCCAAGTCAGTGTAAATTCTATTGAAAAAAAAAATATATAGAATAATTGTAAGAAATTATAGTGTTGCATTTTTCCATTTGTCTAAAACACAGATAAACACATAAAGCAGTTAAAAGGTGCTTTTATACATATCTCAAAATCAAACTATATATCTTTAAAACCATTAACCAAAAGAACCATGTATTCACCCTTTGATTGTGCGTGATAATATGACAGAGTACAAGAAGATAATACAGCCATTTCCACTGGTATTTTCAAACTGTAAATGCATAAAGTATATCAGTATTTATCAGCATGAATCAGGCTTTCAGTGCACATGCAATATACTTACAAATGAAAGATTTCTCTTGATAAACCTTTCTAATTCAGTGAGGTTATTAAATCTAAAGATCACAAGCTGAAAAAAGAAATGCAAAATGTATGTAATAGATCATATTCTTAATCTCTTAATGCTGCACCAAACTCTTATCTTTGTATTCTAGATTTTTCTCATCCTTAGAAGTTTACTTGTTATCAGAGCATCTAAAATAATTTCAAGTTTAAGGGTGCAAGTTATGAAGCCTCATTTCCTCGTGAACATAATTTCATTTATACTTCTCAGAAACTGTCATAAGGTGGTTGAAACGTGTAACACTAACCATGCTCCAGAATATTCAGATATGCACATTTTGATACCATATTTTGATTTATACTTCTTAATATACACTTCAATATTTTAACAGTAAGTAATGATAGATTAAATTTCATATTCTAAGTAATAAGATTTTTGATACATGAATGTGAAACACTGTAGAACTGGAGGACATGATTACTAATTTACCCATTAATAGTGACATTGGTCTTGTACTCACATTTTCGGTCAAATCATCCTCTCTATATTCTTTAGTCATCCTCCAATTACATGTCCCACATGGTCTATGGAAAAAAAATTCCTTGTTTTTATGAGGGTAACACTTCTTAGTCAAATCCAACTAGCGGTCTATCATCTGCATTCTGATTGCATGAGCTACTAGTAGGCTATAAGTTATAGCCTACTAGTAGTGAAAAGTGCCAACTTTGAAAACCAAAAAATTTAATTTAACTTTAATGTTTCCATGTAAATATTTGACCAACTAGTTGAATTTGACTAAAACAATTAGTCCTCTCATCCTCATGGCTTATGAGTCAATAGCCCATTCAGGCTTTGGCTTCATGGGCTAGTGACACCACATAGCCCATTCATGCTCAAGGACTAATTGGTAAATAGCCAAGGGCTAATTGCTAACTTATAAGAGGCGACGCTCTTACTGCCACCCATGCTTTCCAATGATATTGTGATCAATTTAAACATCATCTTAGTTAAATACACAGTTAATACACTATTTGATATGATCCTCTACTTACAATGCAACTACACCATTAGATTCATAACCAGCCTGCCATATCATCCTGGCTATGGCAGATACAAGAGCTTGCTGACGTTCTGACGGCAAGGGGTCCAATACACTACAACAATATAAATTGCTTAAATCAAGAAAACTGCAAGTTATATTTTTCTTCTGTACTTTATTTCTAATTATACAATGTAGTATATAATTAGAAATATTTTTATATAGCTGAAATATTTTTACCTTCCCTTCAAGTCATTTGTGTTCTGGTAGAATAATAAGTACTTCATCAGAAATGCTTGAATGCATGCCATCAACCCACATGGCCCTGGCTGAGTAGATATAAAACATTAGTAAAATGTGACATGAAAAAAACAACAAGGATATCCTAAAAAGATCATTACATGTAGAAATTTGTGGACCTAGAATCTACTCCATAATCAGTGATCAAATTTCATCCTATAACACGAACAAATGACAAATTATTTAAAAGTATAAATTCACCTATTCAAGCTTCCTTTATAGAGTATCTTAGAGTAAAAATGCTCATTGTGATCCAGGTTTGATCTTGCAAACTAATGACGTGCATTTATCAAAGTGTAGTTATCTCTTCATGTCAGTCTCTAATCCTCCTACCAAATCTAGCTGGATCTACCATATTCTAATTCACTACCCAAATATTCTCATCTAATGCATAAGGGTATTGGCTATGTTTTTACACGTATACCTTGTAAAAACTAAGGCCATAAGATGAATTTCCCAAAAAGTTGATATGCTGACTCCTCCAGTCTGTATTAAAAGACGTCAATGCTGACCCAAAGAGCACTTCTCTCAGTTCCTGAAAGAAAATTTAAAAAATTCAAATAACAACAAAGGTAGCTGTTAATGGAAAGCATGGGTGGTGCACTGAAGAAACTCAACATCATATGTGAGCATAAAGTAGAGGTGGTTATCTCCTGTACTTTGAGGGTTTTTTGGGCCAATTTTATCAATATCTTGAAACAACCTCTGGTCAAAGTCAGGGCATGGCTAACTCACAGGGTCAAGAAAACTGAAGAACCCCAAAAAACTCTATTCATGGTGTGATACAGAGTCTGGGAATTGAACCTGAGACCCTAAAGGTTAGAGACCCCAAATATAATATAAAAATAACATTTTAAATTTTTTATTGCTCTGATATTAATAACAGCGCAATATTTATCAATACCCTGGCAGTTCTTTGTGATATAGGTTCTCCTCCAGAAACATGCTTTACAGGAATTACTGCAGTTACAGATCTTGCTGAAGCTGGTTTCTTAAGTGTGACAGATCTAGGTGTACCAGTTCTTGCAGGTGTGCCAGATCTTGTGGGTGTGCCAGGTCTTGCGGGTGTCCCAGATCTTATGGGTGTCCCAGATCTTGCAGGTGTCCCAGATCTTGTGGGTGTGCCAGATCTTGCAAGTGTGCCAGATCTAGAAGACTTTGTATGCTCCATAGGTGGTGGGTCAGATGCATTGAATGGAGTTCTTTCAATCAGAGGTTTAGGAGAGTTAGCATCTTTGACTGTGATTGGAGGTCTGTTTGTAGTGGCTTCAAAGTTTGAAGACTCATATTGTGCTGGAGAATAAACAAAAATATCTTACTTGATAATATCTTGTTTCAAAATATTAAAACATGGCACATGGCAGATTAAATTTCTTGATCCATACCTTGACCATTTTGAGAGCTGTTGTGTTTATATTGTGCACTTTGTCGTCTTTCAACTTTTGTTGATGACTGCCAAGGTGGTTTCTTACTTGGAAGGGCAGACTGTAATATATACAAACAAATGAGGGAAAAACACTGATAGATTACCAGTCAGTTTTCGAAGGAAGGAAGGAAGGAAGGAAGGAAGAAAGAAAGAAAAGATTGATAGATCGATGGATGAATGGAAAGATGAGAAGGACAGAAGAAAGAGAAGAGTAACGAAGAGAAAAAAGAAGGAAAGAAGGTAAAGAGGAAAGGTGGATGAAGTAAGAATGGATGGATGGAAGAGATGAAGAAAGGAAAGTGACCAGGAAAGAAGTGATCAGGGAGAAAAGAAGTGAAGAAAGAAAGAAAAAAGATGGAAAAATAGAAGGATGAAAGAAAGAAAACAAAGAAAGAAGGGAAGAATGGAAAGAAACAATGCAATGACAACAATTTTCCAAACACTTACTTCTTGGTAAAGACCCAATCTACCAGGGGTCTTGGGTCTCACAAGTTCTCTACTCCTTCTTCTATTCAAAGGTATCAAGCTGTTTTCTTGGGAAGATTTCATACTGGTAATTTGTTTAGATGCTGTCAAAAATAAAACCAAAGCCAAAATCACCAAAAAAGTGCAGCCAATTTCAAAAATGGATGATTAAAATTACCGACCTTTAGAATTAACTTCTTCACTGACTTCTTCAAAAACATCTTCTAACTCCAGGTCTGTTCTGGTAACTGTCTCCCTGTATGGTAACTGTGATAAAGTGCACAGAAAAAATCAAAAATAATGTAGGCATTTAAACTGTCATTAGTTTTATTAGAATAGTACTTACACTCCTTGGTAATGATGGTGGTTGGCTGTAAAGAAAGAAATTGAAAGAATGGCTTGTACAGTTAATTAGCAAGGCAATAATCAATGCTCTTTGTTACTGGCACAGATCAGGGTGAGGGAATGAGTAATTGGACATGGGAGCATGTATATGTGGGAAAGAATGAAGGGAGGGAGGGTGGGGGAGTGAAAAATATTGGTCTGAATCTTCCTTCTTGTCACAAACAACAGCCAGCAACACATACCAATAATCAATACTATCATTTAATTGTTCAAAGAACGTGTGTGATATGGAGAAAGACCATGCCTAATATGAGACTGTATAAGCACTTCTCCTCTGCTTATGATCAGGCATGATAAAGTTTTTAGGAAATTTGAGTATTTCTTTATAGAATTAAATGATAAACAACTTATAAGTCAGTTAAGCATCTGGTACGGCTTTGCACTTATACTCATCACTTGTATTTTTTAAATACTCTGTGACTCGTAAAAATACACAGCTGTATCAGATGCTTAGCCAACTGATAACCTATATATTTTATATCATTGACCACCAAGCTTACACATGAAATATGGACCTTTTTGTAATTTAGTAAGGATAGCAAATGTCAACCATTTTAACATTTATTTGTTACATTCAAAGTGAATATGTTTTAACAGAATAATCTAATATATACCTTCTCTCAAACACTTTGGACCATTTTTCCAGTACCCCACTTCTGGTTTGAAAATTATGTTTGGACATCATAACCCCTGTGAAAGCAGTACTGGTAAGGTCATAAATATAAGCATTCGAAAAAAAAATACAATATGTTATACTAGGTATATCTAAATAATAGATACAGCATTAGTATATAAAATCTTTAAATTCGTCTGCAATGAGCAAAGCTAGGGAATATAGCTTACATAAATATGTGACCAATAAACTTCATACAGTAACACAACATATGATATAATTTTTTTGATTTTCATAAGACTTATGAAATACACATATTTTTGCTAGCTCTTTGATTAAAGATACTTCACTTACCTCCAAGATCTCAGTTAAACTAATTAAAGTTAAAAACGGCTTCTTAATCGACAAATTTCACATATTTTTAGCCAAGATGGAAACTAGCTGTCTTCGATCTTCGACGTTTATAATGCTTTTTGACTTACTCTTCTCATTTTTCTATTTTTTCACGCTCAAAAAAATCCGGTGTAGCCAAAATTATAAATTTCAAAAAATATTGTATTTCACAATGAAAGTTTTTTTAAAATGTTTCTAAATTCTTTTTATTTCCGTGCGGTAGTTCTGTTTTCACGTAGTAATATTGGACGCCATGTTGGTAGTCAAGCAGAATATTAGTAAGCTCACCCCAGTCCCTTTCTCTTATACCCCACAGGGGACCCATAAACTAACCACTCTCTGCTCAAGGGAAACATTAACAATATTTATACGAATGACATAATTTCGTAGGTCACTGAAATCCTTCTAGATAAGTCTATTGTTTGTAAACACTCATGCAAATTATTTTCTTCTTATATTTTTTGCCGAAATCAAAATATTCAATTTAATAACTTGAAGTTTGATTCCATCCGGAAGCCTCTCTAGGCCTACTAGGGGGGCCTTCTTTTCATATTCATCTCGTGAAAGAATTCCTTCCCTGATGAGTGCCTTATTTCCAGCTGAGACGCACTGACGTATTTCCTGCTATCATTAGAGAGTGGAGAGAACAGTCATTTGTCGAAATATTGGCGACTTGAAGAGGCAAGTTAGGGTTGTGTACAAAAGGGCGGAATTTTAATATGCGCTTTCAGTTCTTTAATGACACGAGCGGATTTGAAAGGGAGTACTACAACAATTATGATGATAAATAGAGGATATTACATGGGCGCGCGGAGATACGAAATTTATCTTCGAGTGTTGAAAAGATCTCTCATGAGTGAGCGCAGCGAATGAGTGAGAGATTTTCAAAACGAGAAGAAAAATTTCGTATCTCCAAGCGCCCATGTAATATTCTGTTTATTACATAATTATCCATAAAATCAACTTAACAAGCTTTTTATTATTACAAAAAGTTTTTATTTATAAACTAATAGCTTAAATACACGTGGAAACGATATTTTCACATGTGAAAATAACATGTTATTTTCACATGTGAAAATATCAGTTTTTCGAAAAGGAAAAATATAGGTATTTTATGGATAATTATATGATAATTATTGATATTATGATGATAATGAATGGATCACCGGATTTAACTGGTTAATTAAGCGTGTGTCTCTCCATTTTCTTTTTTATCATTACCACAAAGGCACGTGACAAATGTAATACCACATCAATTCATTCAAGAATCAATAAATTTAAAAACGATGAATGAACGCTCTTTGGCCTTCCCCATCGCTTGGTAAATACACTGAATTTCCTTAGCCAAATTTTCCCGGTATGTTTCTGAATTTATAAAGTTTTGATTGTACTAGTGGGGGCCGCACGTGTTTAAAACCGGTTATAACAAGCACCATCCCAACTAAAACCTGCGCTTTCTAAAGGGCACCGTTTCCTAAAGCTCTTGATATGGACCAAGATTTCCTTTTCCTGAAAAACCATAGAAAAGGTAGACTTAGAGTAGACAGTACTTTTTTTAGTTAACTAGGGCAAGTAGAAATCAACCAAGCCATCCACAGGTATTGAAGTCGGTGTTAATCACAATAAGTAGTGAAAGAAAACACCCCTGTTACTAGTAGTTATGACGTAGTCAGTTGCGACCCGTTATGTTTCCGTGACTTGGCGAAGCAAAAACAAGACAAACAACGTCTATCCCGCGTTTTAAATCAATAGGACGGCAAGCCTTAAATAAAGATAGCTACCCCACGATCGATAGTGCACGCTGTTCGAATTACGCTACGAATGTAATCATATAAAAAATAGCTATCAAATTCGAATACATTAATACAAACGAAAATAATAAAATCTATGTCATCTTTTCACTACCGTGTAGTTTTGATAACAAAAAAGTCATTACGAAATGTTCGAATTATCGTTTGATGTTTAATTATCTGAGGTTAAAAGTTCTTTTCGTACATAGTCATAAATACTAGAAGAGTATAGCCTAGAGGTAATTTTGGTCACCGGCTTTGTCAATAAAGAATCACGCTATATTACGTGACTTTTCCACCGACACCAGAAATCACCGGGTCGGAAGCTACTGCGACGAATCGAGTTAGTGCAATTTAAGACAGTGATCGGTGGATGCTCTAAGCGACTTTGAAGAATGTCGTGAGCGATTGACCATAAAGCGAAAGTAATGATTGCATGTTTTTTGGCATGCTGTCGTGATACGTAAATCGTAAGATTCATCTTTAACAGTAGGTATCTTAATTGTTATCGATAATCATTAAAAAGCCGACCTTTTTAATATAAGTAAAAATAAGAATCACACAAAGCCCGCACGGAAAAGAATATTATTTAAATGATTAGGTCGGTGTCTCGCTTGCCTTCACCGACAAGCCAAAAGCAAAGAAATTTCAAATGCCTCAATACCCAAAGTATTCTCCCTCAATATATACATACATAAATAGATCAAAAGCTTTCCGCTTGCTTGGGATGAATTTTCTTCAATTCTCTAAATACCGTTTTAATTTTATTTTGGTCGCCACGAAGCCAAACGATAATGCATATAATCAGCATACGGCGAGCAATTTAACCATTTGGTCATTTATTTATTCATTCATTTTCACACAAACTACCATCCAACTCTCGCATGTTGATTATCACAGTATTGTCAAGAAATATATACCTTGTATTCTTGTATCACTCTATCTTTTAATCTTTCCTCCTATTCATTTGGATTTTTGGCAATAATCACGTTTTGTGGGTCAGCCAAAGATATTTTTATACACGCGTGCCACGCCTATTATTGCAACATCATGCACCTGACGATGTTCGAAGACCACTCCTTCAAACAACTGAATGTATATATCGAAAAACGGCCAAACATGACAAGCTCAGTTCCGGGAACGCATTGCCGCCCTATCGAGCGCTCGTGATTTAGCGGTTTCGACTAACTGATTCGGAAGAAAAACATTAAACCTTTGGCGTATAGTCTCTGGTTCAATTCACAGAATAGACTCGGATTGCTAAGTTTCGAGCCTACGTAGCGGCTAGATGAACCCAAACAGTGGCTGCGAAGGAGACTGGAATTGCTATTAATTCACACAGAATGCATGATAAGATTAGAAGTCGTTCGTTCTATCTAAGGCAGCTTAAGGTGGATCAGTCATTAAAGCTACTATGAGCTATACCCCAGACCAATAATGACTAAAGATTTAAAACAACCTATGCTGCCGTGACACAGATTTCGCACCAGTTCCATCTACTTGTCACTGAAGGGGAGAAAGATTATATCACGGCTCCCATCAGCTATGCGGATTCGGAAAAAAAAAAAAAAATGTTTCGACAAGCAATTTATTAAAAAAATAAATTCAAATTCAACCCCCAAGATTATGCGCGTCATCTACTATACACAAAAACTTTATTTCCTTTCCTTTCATGAATTTTTCAGTTTCTTTATTCTTTGATTGAGTTCATTGAAAGATTTGTCGAATTTGTCCAAAACTTCATATCTTAATTTCGCGTGTCCTCTACTGTAGACTGAAGAGTTTTATTTCCTGTCTTTTCATTTTTCATTTTCTCTATTCTTCTATAATTGAATTCGTTGAGAGATTCGTTTAATTTGCACAAAATTTGACTTTATGATTTTGCGCGTCACCTTGACTGTAGACAATAATTTTATTTCCTGTTTTCCTGTTTTCTTTTCTTTTTTCCTTTTCTTCTTTTCATTCTTTCGTGTCCCCATATCTTAATCACCATGCTCCGTTTAGTTATTACCTGACTGGTACTGAGTTACTGGTGTGAGTCGGTAGACTTTGCTTGCTTGTGGTCCAACACCACTGAAGGAGACTTCACTGAAGTTCAAACTCAATAAATAAACTCTAAGCAAATGAATGAACTACACGTGTACAACTTCCTTGGCACATTGATAGGTGTTCAAGCTAACATACCCTCCTTTTTAAAAGCAGCTATTGAATTCCTCTTTATGATTCATAAAGGGAAGTGTTGAGTCAAACTCCATATTACTCACCTCATATTAGTGCCGATGATTCACTTCCAGCACACAGGTCATCCCTCATTTATTTAGTCTTCCTTACATGTAGTATCAAAATCATTACTTTTGATTCAAGAACAAACAAAGCACTTCAGATCAGATAGTTTTTCTTGAAATATTGCGTCATCCTGCTGGCTAAGCAACCAATATTTTTCATTTACAATTTAAAAAAACAAAAACATGAATATGATAACATTGAAATTCTTGTTCGACACATGCTTCAAAAATTGTTTACAGTTTGTAACAGGCAATTATTTTGATGTACAACAGTTGTATTCTGTTACGCATCGGGAACTACGGAATTGTTGCTTAGTTTTCTTTTGTGACGCATCTAGGACAAGAAAACGCACGCGAGCGGAGTCATGATGAGTAGGTTCCTATGTCCCGGCAGACAAACAATATATATGACTCCACCTCACAAGCTAGAAATATGTTTACGTACACATTTTAATTCAAGATACACTTAACTGACGCCATTCTTTCCATTAATAAAACTGACTTAATTTCGTCAAATATTAGCGGCCGTACAAAGAAGGGAAGACAGCAAGACGCTGGGAAGCTAGTGGACTGAAATACACAGCTAATGCTGCTTTAATCGCCAATCTGTTTCCATGCACCAACTACTTGACTCACGGCCATGCACAAAGAGCGAGTGAGCGAAAACGCATTGCAGTACCGTATTTTCCTTGTTTTACGATGTAAGTCATACCAGTGCATGCATATGGCTAACAAACATGTGGCCCTCGTTCCATGATCAAATTGAAATTTAGAGGCTGACTTTTTGAGGAGGGAGGAACATATAAACCCGGAGAAAACCCCCCATAGCACAGGAAAGAACTGGACTCGTGACTCATCCGAAAATCAATGATACTATATGCAAGAAAAATTACTGGGTAGTGTTTTTGATCGTATCGTATATTAAATACAGCTAGAAGACAACCCAATGCGTCGCTCTCGAAAGATGGCTGGTTTAGTCACGTTAAACTAAGCATATATAATTTGCATTATTATCATCAGACAGTGGGTGGATGACCAGTAAATTCAGTTATGCTCTGTATTCTATTCTTAAAAGGGAAGATTGATTTTGAACGCCAGCTAAACATTGGACAGATATGGATGGTAATTTTTCTCCTGAAACAAACAATGTGCCTCAGCTTGTAACATTAATATTGAGCGAGGACACGTCACGGCCAGTTTCTACTAAGTGATTCAAATAATCGTTAGGCCTCGCAAATTTGATCATGTTCAAGATCACGTTCACTGCCACAGTCTTGCTTCCGCGCTTGTTCTTGTTGTACTTCAACTTACTGTAACTTTCTGAGCGTATATTATATCAGCATAATAAAGAGAACTTGCACCGCATCACTTTTTGCCACTAAGTAATTCTAATAGAAACTTGGACGCAGTTTTCCTGATCCGGCGAACGAGTTAAAAAAAATTGTCTGGCAAATGGCTTCCGTACTAGTCACGTTCCAAAAATCCTTTTTTAGTTTGTCATTAAAAATTCGAAGAAGCGTTTGATTTTCTTTCAAACAAATGATATAGTCACAAATTATCCCGACCTCACCTGGCCGATCTATAACTGAGTGTATTGCATCAACGTGGTTCTTTTTTGGGAATCCAACGGGCTTTTTATAGCATTGTTTTGAGAAAGCTGTCCAAACATCCTTTAACTTTTATGTTTCTTTTCTTATGAAATTTCTAAACACGTGCTTGTGTAACCACAAAGTGTACTGTACTTCATCTAACCATCTTGTACGACCCGATATGAAAGGGGTTCAGGAATTTCAAATCTTTCAAAAAGTTTCCTGTTGACTCTTATAACGTCTGGCATTGATAAGGGCCTAGTCGGTTATAAATGGCCGCTTTTAAAATAAATTGTCAAACAGCTATTGACTTTAGATCAGCCACATGGAAAGAGTCTTTAAAACTGAACAATTGTGGTTTGGCGGCGTTGAAGACAAATTCCTGGCATTGATTTTATGCGGAAATGACAACAAGAAAGTAGCCATCCTCTTCGTATCACAGAGCTATGACGTAATCGACCGCGATTATTTAGAAGTGTAAACTTGCACGATCCATCACGTACCGAAGCGTCGCGTGATACACACGACACTTAACCTTCACAGACAATTCTACGAAGCGTAGAACTACGCCAATAACTTCACGGAAACTTCTTATTAGGGGTCTATATGTAATCGAAAGTGAAAACTGGCTTATTTTAAGAATGCGTGATAAATAAACTTTTTTGGTTGGCTGTTTCTTTGATCCATCTAACCCTGACCCTCACTGATGACTCATTGTTATGTAATTTGAGCCAGCGATTTTCAATCAATGGAGCATGCGTGAAGGGGTTTTTTTCTGTCGTCAGAACGAGGCTATAGAAATATCCGGAAAAATCTTTGGTCTTTATTGCATCGTATTTAGAATTGCTCCGAAAAAAAGAAAAATAATATCTGTGTTCTCGCAGGCCTTACCACGGATTTTACCTCCCAGTTTCGCAGGCATATGCCAAGCTCTCCGAGCATGATTGTGCCAATAATGGGAAAAGATTCGCGCTGGCTACAGGTCGAGGTTTGCCGAGAGTTTCAAAGAGGGAAGTGCTCTCGAACAGAGGAAGAGTGTCGTTTCGCGCATCCACCGGCTCATGTGGTCATTCACAACGGCCGTGTTACGGCATGCTTCGACTCTCTAAAGGTAGATATACATCAGCTGTCCTACCTAGAACCATTAGACAGGCTTTCTTTTATATTTGGGGAATTTCTGGGGATTTTTTGGAGCTGAAGTTGTTCCAAGAAGACGCAGTCTAACTTTTGACGTAGTGGAGTTGTGTCGTATCTGACATTGTTTGAACACAACTCTATTTTTGCAGACGTTTGCAAATTTATTTCATATGACAACTGGGGTGAACGGTTCGCGTAAGGCAAATTATTTTGATGATATAACCCTTCTACAGATAGTGTTTGGTAGTTTAATCGTTTTTGCTCTTTATTCATATGACAACAAGACAAGATGAAATTTTTTTCTCTCTAAGTTGATCTGATTATACGATTCAACAAGACTTGTTGCGTGTCTGTGTTTATGATGAATCAGGTCCAAAGATTCCTATTTTGATTTTGCCTTTTGACGTTACTCTAAAAACACTTAGTCTTTAATATATCAGAACTCTTATTTTTGATGGATGATCGGGAATATTTCTTTGATGTTCGTTTTTTCAAACTTGTAAAAGCATCCCAGTTTCAAGAGGTAGGTAAAGCTCCTTTCGTGCAGAAAAAAAATATGTTGACGTCTCCAAAGACAGATAATATTCTTTTCAGTCCCCGCGTGTATGGCGCTAAATTGTTCCTATATTTATTTTTCCGAGTGCCGTCTTTGAATCTAATTTACCTTGGCTTTTGATTTTAAGATTTCGTGACACACGGGGACTTCAATTTTCTTACTGCGTACTTACTTTCWAATCGCGTGCAACTCATATTTCAATTTTTTATGTTCGCACAATTTTACATGCGCCACGAAAATATTTCTACACGATCATTTAGAGAAGTTCCGAATAAGTATTCTAGAAATCAAAAACTAAGTCTATGATAAATCGAGTAAAGTAGCGGTCGCGAAAGAACAAAGACTATAATTTTTTAAAAACGCAGTTTGGCAGGTACAGTACATTGAGGTAAAATACATGTAAGCCAACAGAGGAAAAGACGAAAAAATTAACTGAGTTAGAAACGCAAATCCTTAAAGAAAACAAATTCAGACACTTGTGACGCTATATTATTATTCCTTATAGCATTTAATTTAGTTTCTCTATAAAATTTCTTTTGTTACCTTTGTTTAGCCAATAATTATATGGATGAAAGGTTTTTTCTTACTAAGTTTTTCTTAGAATTTCGATAGAATATATATAAATTTTAAATGAACTAAAAATTTGCTGGCAGTTAGTTGGATACCACAGATGTTCAGAAATGGCTTTATATATGCTCAAGCTGAACAATGCTAAAAAGTGATTTTTTTAGTTGCATCAGTAAACTTGTTCCATCTAAGCTTCCATATGGGGGGATTTTCTCTTTTCATTTGCTCAAAGCAAACTGCTACGGTAGTTCCAGAAAGTCGAGTTCCTTGTAGGTTATAAATATCTCTGAGCAAAGGCTTAAAAAGTTCTTCAAGGAAAGAGGCTAGTAAGAAAAGATAACCATTCTTTTATCTACTTTCGAGAATGTTTGATGATTCAAAGTTTGGTGATCAATTCATCATAAAAAAATTTTATTTATTCATTTCGTAATTGGTCTCTTTGTTCCTAAAGACTTAAACCTGTTTCACTCAAATTACTTTGAAATTGCTATCTATCCATTCTAAGATCTTAACTACCTTTCCTTTCTTTGTTCAAAATGAAAATCAAAGAATGTAAATAGCAAATTATATAAAAAGTTCTATTGTTTTGAGAGTAATTCTCCTCAGGACAAAAATCTAATGTTTCAATAGCCCTACAAAGTCATTACCATGTAACTAATGTAACGCCATCCAGGTGACAACCTGTTTTAAAATTTTTACTTCAAAATCCCCTMATTTTTTTTTCTTTGTGACACCAGCAGTTAGGAATGTTGGTTTGTTGGTGTTCATTCTCATAAATGTGTGGAACCTGCTATATTATCCTTCAATCACCCTATGCTGTTGTCTCCCTTTGTTTATGTAAATGAGAAGCAGATCTAAGATTCAACTACATATTTTTCAAATTTGATGGAATTTCTCATAATTCCGTAAGATATCCATATAAGAATAAAAAAAATAGATTCTTAAATATTATTACAACTAGTCATATTTTCCACTCATTGAACTTCACGTATTATTTTCAGAAACTTTAGTTACACTTACAAAAAGATTCTTGAAAATATACTTTTTCCCCCTCCTCCCAATATAACGGAACAGTCGATCATTTAAACTCCTACTGAATTCAAATTCCTAAAAATGATTGTTAGTTCAGTCTAGTCAAAACTAAGAATACTGTGTCTAATCTTTCTGTTTATCAGCTTTTGGGACATCGTCATATAGTTTGTTTAAGCTTTCATTAAGTTTTTAATTTGTCTGTCAGTAACTTGCTTTTGATCATTATATCGGCAATGGTAAAACAGAAATCATATTAAAGGATAGCCAGTAGATTCCTATTGTCTCTCACTGTATTGGTTTCTCTCTTCCATGTTTTATAATATTTTCATTCTATAAATTCAATACTAGCTCCATATTTATGTAATATTTGTTTTGTGTCAATATAAATATTATGTAAATCAAATTTCAGTGTTATTAAAATTGAAATAATATTTTACCAAATATTTGAAAAATGTTCAAAAAAGAAGATGAATGTAACTGTAAAGGACATTTTTGAAATTAATTTGCGACACTTTGTTTTTCATCAATTTCAAAAGTTTTCTTTTGCTCATGCCTGTTAGTTCCCGTTTTGATGATAATACCTTACGCAGTCATTCACGTACACACACTTCTATCAGCTTCTCCAGATTAAAGGTTAATCTTGATCTGAACTTTATATATATACATGTATATCTGCATGTAGATTATGGAGTCAACATTATTGTTTTCCTCCAATACTACAAGTAGTTGGTAAATTATTCCAAGATATCTGTAGTATGTTTACATACATCATTTATCTGCTCGAACACGGTGCAAAGATTGTGTACTGCATAAATTTGTTGTTCTCATATTTGTTTAATTTTGATCACATAATTTCTATTTTGAAGTCTGTATTCCCAATGTTAATTTGACCTTGGTTTTCTGTTTTCATTCCAATTATGATACAGCTTTCTTGTTTTCACACACTGAAACATAGCTAGATTTGATTATTATAGAAAATTGTTTAGGATAAAGCTGTTTTAGGAATAAATATGACATTTTTCCATTAAAAGTATAAGGTTGTTCTGGCAATAAAGGTTAATTATTTTATGCACAAGATCTTCATGTTTTTCAGTAAGATTAGACATCAAAACGTCACACAATATCATTTTTTATCCAGCTTTATTAACTAATTGGTTTATATTTAAAGTACTCAACATTCATGGGATAAAAGGATCCTATAAAAGTATAAGGTTTTTAAGACATCCTGTCCGTAACTCATTCGGTTTAAATGTTTAGCTCTATCAATTGAGACAATAACGATGTTATAATGATACTGTATTTAAAGTATCTTATAATTATAGCCATAGATGTAATTGTAAAATAATTACTGATATTTCATCATGATGTGCTATGCAAGATATGCTTTTTTATAATCATGTAATAAGATTCTGCACTCTGAGAAAATGATATCATTTTATCAATTATCAATTTCATAGTGCATGCGTGACATAAGTAACATTATTCACTGAATGTATCATAAGTACCTCGTAACACAATTCTTTGAAAGCATAAGAATTGTCTCTCACAAGACTATTATCAGAATCCCAAATGACCCATATATGCAGGGTTTTCATTAAGTTTTGAAATATTAGGAGAAGAGGATTTGGAAATAATAGGAGAAGAACTGCCAGAGAGTCCTGGGGACCAAGTGAACATCTTATGAATTACTAAGCCATTAATGGTAGTTTAAGCCTGAGAATTTTGCTCCGTAACCAATGCATTCTCCGATCCCATACCCTTAATGAAAACCCTGTATATGTAGATATATCAGAAGCTTTTTAGAGGAATGAGGAAGTATTTTGGCACCAAAGAAAGACCAGTTATAGCAAAATAGTAGATATGAATAGTGCTGCTAAAAAATAATAACCGGTTGTCAGGCAATTTATGTTCCAACAGAATTGGAACTTCTCCAATCAAATCTTTGCTTGTTATTTTGGCCATTAATGTTGAGCCAGAAAGGAGGTATAATCAAGCTTAAACTTATTTGGCTGGTCATCATGTCTGGCGACTGATTTGCTGTTAGTCTTAGCTCTGACTCAAATGACAATAAGATCTAATGATAAGACACATGCTAATGACGTCATCATATTCTTCAGGGTCGATGTCAGAGGGAAAAATGCAAATATCTCCACCCACCAAAACATCTTAAAGCACAACTAGAACACAATGGACGGATGCTACAACAGCAGCAACAGATGGCATTACAGCCACAAATGCTTGCTCCTTTGACACAACAAATGATGACAAATCCTTCATTAGTAAGTATTATAGATTCAAATTTGAAAATTATTTTTGGGATTTTTATTTTCCAAGTAAAATTATCACTATATGTTTTGTGCATGCTTGCAATTCAGGGCTCAAAATAATGACATTAAACAATGTCTGGCCAGAACTGAGACTTGTCCAGTCAAGAATTTGCCTTGCCAGCGACTTTGACCAGTAACATTTAGCTAGAAATGAGGTATGACTAAGCTATTAAAACTAATTTGGCCTGTGTTCATGACTGGCAACTGATCAGACGTTATTTTAAGCCCTGCAATCTTATGTCCATTAAATCATCTGACTAGGAGCATTGTGTGAACATTGGTAACATAATAGAAGGAACATTTATTTTAAGCGAAGGTACATTTTTATGGGGGCAGGGGCTGGTCATCAGTAAAACTTTGAACTTTTGTGGAGAAAAACCTTATTATTTTGACAAAAGATAATTCCTTGACTTAATAGGAGGGTCATTAATTTCTTACTGAGTGAAAGAGGAGGGTTACAACTTTTCTAAAAAATGTTTACTCCAAATTCCCATCTCTTCCCCCAAATTGAGAGCGTATACCTTCCCTAAGAAGCAGAAAAAAGCATCTACTTCTTCTTGCTGGTCTTGCTATATTGCACATGTTGATTTTTTAAGAAAGGATTGAATATAGTTACTTAATATCAAGAAAATATTGGCGTGAGAGTTAACTTTGTGATCTGTGTTATAAGTGTCTTCAACATTACTCAGTTCCCTTTATTGATACCAACTACTTAAAATGATTTTCGTTCTTACAAAAAATAAAATCTCTGCTCTTATGGATTTTCCAAATATCTCTATTTTTAGTTTCAATTGTGGCACATTTTGCCATTCTTAATGGCCTACCTAAATCTGAGATCTCTTGCACGACATTTTACAAAAAAAATTCCCTGACAATTAACGACTGTGTGTTGACCAATTATGTACTGGAATTATTTGTGCATGTATTCTGCTTTATTATATTTGAGCTAAATATTATATTTTCAAGTCGTATTTTCTAAAACATCTTATATTGTGGTAAATAACTATCACAGATATGATTGCATGGCTACAACTATTTCTCTTTTTTCATTCTGTAAAATAAATTTCTGAAAATTTTTCTTGCACACTCAGCGTATTTCAAAGGATCTTACAGCAGTTTTTTGAGGTTTATCTTTTGTGACAAGATGTTACAAAGCTTACGTCATTTGCTATTAAGCACTGTATATTCCACGACTAGGCAAATACCAAAAATTAAAAATGTCAATCAAAAACCTGTCAAAATGTGCTGACAACTAGTCTTCAGAGATTATGTCTGTTGGCGAAAGCAATTTAAGACTTCCTTCCTTAAATTTTGCTATAAAAAGCAATTTTGTTTCACAGCTTTATTTCCAAGGTTTTTTCTATAATTCTTGAATAATAAATTTTGAAAATGAACATTTTGCTGTAAAGAATACATATATATATGTAGCTACACTTGTTTTGTCAGCTATATTTTGATCTTCATCATTTTGAAAAGCTAACAACATTTTCAGCTCTAAAAATATATTGAACAGATGATTTTTTCCCATTTTTTAAAGCCTTTCTATCAAGTACGAAGAGAATATTTTAAAACGATTTAAAATTCAACTTTGACAGATTGATATCGCTCTTCATTAAATCTAAAAAATTTGAAATCTAATGGTTAATAATCTTTAAGACCAAAATTTAATTTAAAAAAGTAGATTACCACTAAAAAGGACCCCTTGGGGATAGTTGTGACTCCATGGGAATTCTGCCTTGAGCAATTTTTGTGGCAACTATTTTAAATTATTTATATCCATGGCAGTGTTTTGTCTTGTTTTTTTTTTGAGCCCAATATGCTCTAACTGCATTTAGTTTTTTGAGACAAAGTACAGAGATGAAGTGTAGTTTATAGTGTATTTGTATTGATGGTTTTTTTTATGTAGATTATAGGGAGAAATGACAAAGAAATGAAGCATGAGGTTTCTGGCCTTGACCTATTTTAAAGAGGATTCTTTCTCACAGCAGGGGTGCTAAACCAAAGGGGGCCCACACGGAATAACAAAGCAGTAGGATTGAATATGTACGGTCTATGCAATACTGGAAAAATGCTTCAAATTTGAAAAAAAATTAACCCTCAAAGTTCCCTATACTCAATAAGATATTAACATTGAATTCTTTGACATCCAAAAGTCAGTTCTTTAGTTCTTATTTTGATTTAGATTGCATGCTATTTCCACTTTGTTATTCTTTGTTTTTATTACTCACAGACCACCACTTGAGTCTGGGGATTTTAACCTCTCAAAACACCTGTAAAAATCCTCCCAAATTCAGTTTGTTTAAATTTTACATTTGTCTAAAAAATCTCTTCAAGGAAGCGTTAGTATTGCTATAATATTTTTTGAGTTTGATAGACAGGCATATCTTATCACGATATGTAAATGCTTGGCACGTTGTACCCAAAGAATTCCTACTGAGTCACAGACTCCCCACTGTGCTTGTCTGATGCCTCTAGTTTGGGTCTGGGAGCACAGATTAAGAAGCATAAAATAATCAGAGATTTGTCACGGAAGATGTACTCTCAAAACCTTAGGTGGTAGCAAGTCTTTATTGGGTACAAAAAAGACATTGAGACAAATGCTACTACATTAGTTTATTTAATTTCTAATAGGCAATCCTATTAGTATACTTTTAATTCAGCTCTCTGATCTTGAATTGCCGATCAAAAAGTTAAAAACACTCCATCTTATTCACATAGACCATCTGCTACACCTATTGCACTTATTCTCAAGAAAAGAAAATTAAATGAAGTTATTTTGGTTGCATTAACATTTGATTGGCTGGTACTTCTAATAACATCATCCAATCAAAGTTTACCAAATATACTTCTTTTTTTTATTTCTTGAAAAGCACATATTTCAATCTTCCATATTATCTGATGGTTTTGTTATTTATTCTCACTGTGTTTTCATCTGCCTGAAGGCTAATGTTTATTCATTTTAAGACAATTTTTGAAAAATGCTAATTTTTGTTGAAAAATTTTTAAAAACATGCCAAAGAAATATATAGGAAATATTTGTTGAGGAAAGTTGAAAAATAAAAGGAAATATAATATTCTGTTTGTCTTTTTTCTGATAGGGTTTACATAATCTAAAGATCCATTATTTTTGTCTTCTCTATTTTGCCATATGAAAAAAAATGACTATCTGTTACTTGACATGCAATTTTATTATTATTTTTTATTATTTTTCATCTAGTATTAATTTTTTGGCAGATGCTAATTTTTTCCGAAAAATATAAACTGCGTAATTATTGACTTTAGGATTGCTTAAAATCACAGTAACGAAAGCTTTAAATCATATCAAGTTATGTTTTTCAAATATATTTTTGTGCTGTCATTTAAAGTTGATGGTAAGGACAATAATTCAATTCATTTATCAAGATATTGCCTCATATTGCTGAGCACTATATATCAGAGTTAAATCTGGTTGTGATATAGTCTTATCTTACTTGCTCAATCTTATCCATCATTTTGTAATCATTGCATTTCCAGGATGCACGTAACGTGATTATCAATCGTCATGGTTAAAATAATTCTCACAATCTTTACTAAGATATTATTGATCAACTTCCTAGTATCAATACCTTTGCTTATGGAGAGAATGAATTTCCAGACAGCCAGAAATAATGGAATTCTAGAGGGGTGGTACTTGAATGCAAAATTGTGCATGTAGGGGAAAAATTTAATGAAGCCAAGTCATGGCTGCTGCATAAGAAAGGTCCTTGTATTTATGCCTGCTAGATTGATTCCCATATTCCACACTTGTCCTGCTTCCTAGTATCTTATGATTTCTGGCCAGTTTTCAGAATCTATTCTTACTAGCACCTTAACTGATCATTATGGTATTGTTTCAATATATCAGTTACCAACATGGCAAAGTCTGACAGTTCCGACATCAAATGGCACATTAATCCATCAACCTGTAGCATTCTTAGCTGATCCTGGATTAGCAGGGGGACCAAGACGGCTTGACAAGTCGGATAAGCTAGAGGTGAGAAAATCTTTCATTATTTTCAATCAATGTTATTATGTATTTCTTGGTATGGCTGTTCATTTGTAATAGACTTCATTCGTTGTGGTGCAATGTCATTCCCAAGAGTATCATTCCGGTTGTGTATGAAGACATGTGAATATGGATACGAGTCAATGAAGAATTTTGTTCTTGAGGGAATGAAACATGGCCTGTAATGGGAAAACATTGCACCATGGCGAAGGAGGTCTATTCTCTGTTGGGCTGGGTGTAGTTTACACACTAAAACAAATTTTTTTGGTGATCCTATTGTGCGAGGTTGCAAGTTATTGAGTAAAGTTTTAAAAACTTTAAAACTAGAACAACAAGTCCAAAATTTTCTCTTATCTTGTGGCAATATCAGAATACCCAAAAGAGCTGTATTTATCCAAAAAGACATGCTCCTTATCCCTTAAGATTTCAAATGAATATAAGGTAATATTATCCTAATATTGTTGGATGATAGCCTTATGTCACTGCCTTTTGGTACAGAAAACCTTAATATAAGTTAAGAAACATTGTTGGACTTGAAGCAAAGGAAATTGTCAAGTTAGCATGTGCAAACATAGGAAATGATTCCAAAATATCTTAAGAAAGTAACATCTTTGATTTTTTCAGGTATGTCGAGAGTACCAAAGAGGAGCATGTTCCAGAGATGAATCAGAATGCCGCTATGCCCACCCACCCAGACATCTGAATATGGACACATCAGATGGGATGGTTACAGTGTGTATGGACTTCATAAAAGGAAAATGCCAGCGCGAGTCATGTAAATACTTCCACCCTCCTTCACACTTACAAGGAAAAGTCAAAGCAGCCCAGCAGCAACAGCAACAGATGTCGTTACAATCTGGCATGGTATGCATGTTATTAATATCCATTATTCTAATAATTAGTTTATAGAAATGTCATACATTCATCTACTGAAAGTTACGATGAAGATTATTAATTGAATGTTTGTCAAAATTGGCATGTTTGGAACTCAATGGTACATGATTTAAACTGCATTCAATTGCTAAAAATGTGTCGCATAATCTAATAAGCTATAAGCTATGGGAAATTTGGGCCATATGCACTCTGATTAGAAGGACGATGACAACAAGAGTTTCTTTATCAATTTATACCAGTGTTTGACAAGTGTTCAGTCTCTTGTTGTTCAGGATTTCTTATCAGGAGCAAATCATTTCTCTCCTGTAATGCATTAGAAAAACTAGAACTATTTGCCCTCTATATTCCACTTGCTTCCTGCTTGGCTTCAAGATATTCTACTTGCTTATAGTTCACTGTCTGCATTTCCTAAAGGTAGCGGTTGGTGGCTGTGTCTGTTTAAGATAGATAGTGTCTGTAGACCTTTTAATCTCCTGGAGAGGGGGGGGGGGGGGGGGGGGGGGATCAAGGCTCAGGCTCTTAACTCTAGGACTTAATTATCATCATGAATATAGACTATGATTGTTTGTTAGGCCTCCCTTTTGCTTTCTTTGTTCTCTAATTTTCCTTCCTTCGGAAACCCAACACACTAAATTTAAATTTGATCTGCAAGTTAGCTGTACCTTGACTTACATCAGCCCAGGGGTTGTTTCAGGGTTCAATTGAATAGATATTTTAAAGTGCTACTACGACGAAAATCGCTCAA